AGTGCCCAGTAAACAACAGCAGCCAGAAGCCCAATCTTTATCCCACATCCCGTGAAAACTTACAGAGTTCAAGGAGCCTATTTTCACCTAAGATGGCAGCCTTTCTCCTTTATATGTTACTTAATATATTAATATATATGATATGCGGATATATGGATACGTTAATGACTTTTGTTAACGATACATGGCTAAGTTAATGAGTGAATTTATGGAACATATGAAAGCAAAATTATGGCCTGGGGCAAAAACATTTAACAAAGTATGTCTCTGACTTTGCTATAATAGACACTTGGAAAACAGTAGTCACTGAAAATGCCCCTGGAAATGAAATAAATATGCTAGCTACTCCAAACAAATTGTGGACATCTTCCTTTGATATCTTTCCCATACAGATTATATGCAAAGCAGTCTATGAAAGGGTGCAGAATTTAATTTTTAATATTGTGTATATAAAAAATCTACAACGCATTTATGTCTCAAGCCATTTCTAGTTTGATGAACCTTTATCAGTTTTCATTAAATGTTAGCACAAAATGAACAGGGTAGGGAGAGAGACATGGTTATCCTTGCATAAAGTTCTACCAGGAAAATGCACTTTTACTCTCATACATGGTGAGAAAGTAAAGGGGACACGAAGGGAAGCACACTCGCACTCAGTGATACTGTCACTGCGTGTGTGGATTTCCGTGGACATTAATCTTAAATTTGACTGGTGTCCTCAGGGCTCTTTGGACTGTGTCCCATTTCCAGTTCTATAATTATTGGAGAAGCCCATGTTTTTCTCTCCCTGCCTCTGTGTCTTCATCTGGAAATAAGAGGGCCTGGTCAGGTGATCTCTCAGGTCTGTATTGCCACTGAAAATTGTGGTCTATGCAGCCATGAAATTAATATTTTTATTAGGGAATCATCATTTCTACCATAATTAAATCAGAGAGTGTCAGGAAATTGTTATCAACTATAGTTAAACCTCTCCTTTTATCAGAGGAGGAAATTGAAACTCAGAGGTAACGAATGGTGTTGGCAGAAAAACACAGTGTACCCATGCAGAGCCACGTCAGTCTTTCTCAATTTTTATAAATTAAAAAAACTCTTTAAAAAACCCCTCTTGAAGGGCCGGGGATTTAGCTCAGCAGTTCGGTGGCCTGCCTCGCAAGTACAAGGACCAGAGTTTGATCCCTGGTACCAAAAAAAAACCCCTCTTGATTATATTCACATTGTTGATCTGGTGGTTTATGGGACAAGCTGTTCAAATCCTCTTTCCCATATTTCTATAGATTCAGCTTATGATAGGAAATTTTCAAAAATGTCATTGAGAAAATGAAAAAATGGAAATAAAGTCTTTGTAAATAGGGAAGGCAGAAGGGGATGAAGGGAGGTCAGGGATAAGGGAAAAAATGAGAACCAAGATGTGTCATGCAAAGGTACAGGATCCCAATGATGAATGTAACTGTACTGTATACCTAAAATGTACCAATAAACTCAAAGAGAAAAAAAAGAATATCATTGCATAATTTTCTTAACATTTATTAAAATTGGCTTTTAATTAAATTCTCCCAAGTATAGTCACCCCAGTAATCCTGATATGCCAGTGATGAGATGATAAATATGCAAAATAAAAATAAACCATCCTTTACCGATAAGCAATAATGAAAATAAGGTGGTAGTTGAGTTACCCAATGCACATAATTCATATTAAAAGTGTAGCTAACTGCTAACGTTACTGAATTTTTTTTTTTTTTGGTTTTTTGAGACAGGGTCTCACTATGTAGTGAGACTGACCTGAAACTCACTATGTAGCCCAGGCTGGTCTTGAACTCACAGCGGTCCTCCTGCCTCAGCCTCCCAAGGGCTGGGATTACAGGCGTGCGCTACCACACCAGGCTCTGATTTTTTTTTTAAACTGTAAAATGTTCTTCGTGTTGTCCCTTTCAAAGTGACCAACTGATGGTTTATAGTGGTAAAAATATGTCCTAGTCGTTCCAGACATGTCTTTAGAGACTACATCAGTTTGAATAGTCTCGATGCTACACCACTAGGTATGCTGCGTGTGTGTGCATTGTAGGAGTAGTCAGGTCATTAACAGAGCTGCTGCACATTTGAGATAATAACGTTTTGGCTAAAAATGTAACATGACTACATAGTAATGTCAGCTAGTCTTGGACGAGCTCACAACATTCTTCTAACGTCTTTAAGGCTAAGACATAGAAAGGTAAATAGAGATCTAGATGTTGAAGTTTCCAGTTCACGTTGAGTCTTCAGCAGGCAAGAGTAAGACTGTGGTAAGCATGGTGAACCACGCTCCATCAGCATGAATGTGCTCCCATCAGTGACACCTGCAGTTGGCATCACGAGCGCCTGCACTGGATTAGTGCACCGCATTCAGGCACATATGTCATGTGCTATGTATCTGCCAAGTGAAATCGCTGTGCAAATATAATGATCTCATTATGCTCTTAAGTTAGATTATGAAGGAAAAGCCATGAGTTGAGGACAGGAAGATGGTCAAATGCTGTGTCGTCTTTTTGTTCGAAGAATAGCGAAAACTGGAGGTTTTGACCCGCTTGCTTCAGGATATAGATATACAAATTGTTTTGGAAGAAGAAAGGAAAACACAGCGCAGCTGATTTAAACAGTGATCATAAAAGGAGTCGGTATACAGGATAATCCTTGAGCCTAAGCTCTGTGAGAGCAGCTGGGCTCACAGGGCCTGTGAGCCCAGGGAGGTTTGGACCAACCGGTCCTCTGTCCCACACGCTCTCTTCCACACGGTGCGGGTGGCTGCCTCTCCCACCGGGCTTCAGATACGCTCTCGTTTCTGCTGAGCCCTTTAGACGTTCATGGAGATAAAAGGAGCTCAGGGACAGAGGACTGGCCCGGGCTATGGCCTTCAGAGCAGAGTCACAGGCGCTTGGCTGAGCCCACCACGGTGGCGGTGATGGGGTGCTGTGGGACCAAGCTCAGGACAGAGCAGCTCACGAGCAGTCATACATCCCAACGTGTGCACACCTTTTAATATTTAAATAAAGTTCAAGTGAGATTTGAAATGAGTTAGTCAAAATTAATCTTACGTGTGGATCCGTACTATTTCTAAAGTATTTGTTTTATTACATGGTATTTTCATTCTCTTGTCTAAAACATAATATGTAATGGGGAAATGCAGTCATTATGGTACATGGCTGTGATTGGGTGCCATTAAGAAGGGATTTATACACAAAAGCTTACGATATTCAGAGTGCCCATTGCTTCATCAAGTATTCAAGAATCCGGCAGCACTGCAGAAGGGTTGTGTGTAGAAATCTAACAACCACACTGAGCTCACGTGTAGAAGGCAGGCAGGCTGGATGGCACAGAGGTCCCCCCTGATGGCAAAAGCAAACATTTGAAAATGTCCAGGCTACACGACGATGACAACCTAGAAGTCATTTACCCACGTGTCCTCTTCTTTGGTTCTCCCCACTGCGGTACCTCTTGGGCTCCATGTTACAGGGACACAGAGACGTCTTCTTCATACAGAAGATCAGCACTTATATTCTGGGGTTAATCTTTGTGTGACACTTGACCCATCCCCTTTATTTTAGATCCACATTCCTCTGCTAAATCTGCATAGAGGGGGAAAGGACTTCTTTGACTCTAATTAATTCTTATAAAGAAGTTAGAACGAAGTTACATAAGCAGCAACTCAAAACACACTTTATAATTACATATAAGCAGATGTACATAAAGATAAAGAATACTGACAGCAAATTAAATTCAGAAATAAAAGTGTCCAAGGAACCAAACATTTTTATCCTTCCCCTGTTTAGCGTAATGCTAGTTCCCCAAGGCTAATCCAGTCCGGCTAGACTTTACTCAAAGCCGGTGAAGAGCACCTGAAAGCCTTCACACAAACATCAAGCGTATTATTTTTCACACAGGATTTCCATTGTGTCTGTGTCTGCGTTTGGTCTTAGGCTCTTTCTCCTTTGTCACATCCCAGTAGGAGATCTGAGGGAGGTGATTACCCGTGTTCCTCATTTCCCACAGCCTACTGCATTTGCTCTCTACCGTACTTTGCGAGTCAGGAAACTGAGCTCAGGCAGCGTTACTTCTCTGAGGCTGTCCCAAAGGTAGCGCGTGTGCCTGGCATTCAGTCATCCCCCACTCTGCCCATGTTAAGTTGCTAGTGCACAGGTGCTGAGGGTCACTGTATGGACTGTGGACGGCAAGACACTCAGCATCATTGCTGTACGAGATGACAGTTAAATGCAAGCATTCCTCATGGGATGAGAACAGTAGAAGACAACAGACATTGTCTATACTTGCCTGGGTGTGGAATTTGGGGCCAATGGTAACATTCGAAGGCCTTGGTTTCCCTGTTTACCTAATCTGTCTCTGCATCTCCTTCACACTTTACATCCTTGCTCCTTGTGTATCTGTATCTTGATACACTAAGAGACATAATATATTATATAAACGTAAAATACACCATAAACATAAAACAGACCCGTGAGTGCTTATTGCCTGCTTTTTTGGGATCCAGGATTCGGGATTAAAGGTCTCTCACTGCCCGTCCCCAGTGTCTCGCTGGTCTCTGAGATTAGTAAGCACGCAATAAATATCTGTCCACTGAATATGCAAAAGAAAAGTGAGTGTAAACGGCTGAGGCTGAAGAGACCACACAGCCTAACCCGGCGAGGGGCGGTGGTTTTGTGTGACCCCGAGGCAGGGGACACCTTCACGGTGGCACCCGCTTCGGGGGCAGCGTCTGGCCCTGCCATGTGTGTAACCTGGATTCGTAAAGAGGATCGAAAAGCCTGAAACCCTTCATGCTCACCGTCACGAGTTGTCCTCACGGGAAGTAGATTTGAGTATCAGTGCCCGTTTCTTCCAACCCAGATCTCCGGAACAGTTCCGGCGCAGTAGGACCGAGGTGAGGTCGGAGACCACAGGAAGTGCGGTGAGTGGCCGGGCTGGCGTCCTGACCCCTCACTCACCGAGCGCCCCCTCTCTTCCTTCCTCAGTCGGTGAATTTCTGGTACGTGCTGGTTCTGAGCGACGAGCACACGGAGCGGCGCTGCCTGCGGTTCCTGCTGCTGGGCTGGGGGCTGCCGGCCCCCGTGGTGATCCTGCTCGTCCTGGTCCTGCGAGGCCTCGGCCGGCGGAGCATGGCGCAGACCTACGGGCTCGTCCACGGAGACCTGTGAGTACCGGGACCGCTGCCTCTGTCCCCGCTGCCTCCCGAGTGGCTTCTGCGGGCGTGTTTCTGGGGGGCGTGGAGGGACCACGAGGCCCTGACCGTGACAAGGGAGATGGGATCAGAGTGGATGCCGTGTGTGCAGAGCGCAGGGGTGGGAAGGCGGCCGGGCCCCCTGAGCCCTTCCTGGTGAGCCCTGGCGGACTGGAAATCTGACCCCCGAAGCGATCCGCTGCTATCCAGTACCTCGGGAGCGCGCACGGTGCTCTTCATGGATTTCACATGCGTTGAAAACAAAGCAAAACCTTTGTGATAATGAGGCTTAACGAGCTCTGTTGGTCTAATGAAAATATGTGACAAAGGAAAAAGCTAAATAGGAAAAAAATCGCCTATTCATAATTTTTTATTGGTACACGTGTGCAGTCCATAGTGTTTGCAGTCCTTGTGGGGAGTTGTACAAAACACAACTCAGTTCTTTTTCCATCCTTTCTCCTCCCTGCCTCCTCCCGCCATCCCTTGGTCCCATTCCCAGTCTGTCTCTCCACTTCCTACTATCGCTTTGATTTTTCTCTTTACTTATGTTTTGGGTTTTTCATATAAGAGAAACCATGCGGTTTTTAAGCTTGTGCGTCTGATTTATTTCACATAACATTATGGTTTCCTACGAGTGACCCAAGTTCGTCTTTCTTTATGGCAGAGTACAACCCCGTGGTATGTAAATATCACCCGTTCTTTCTCCATTCACCTCTCGATGGACATTTAGGCCACCTCCAAGACTTAGCTATTCATAATCGTATGAAGGCACTTTTACTAATGATCTCCCTGCTTAATTTGAAGATAATAATTAGCTAATAGAAGTGAAAAAAAATCTTTGAAAGGTAAAATGCTATGTAGGCAGAAATTCTTACACTATCCTTACTGCTTCTAAGCAGTCACATACATGGTAAGTGTGATTGGTGTATACGGACAGGCAGTCACAGACATAACCCGCACTGCGGTCAGAAGGAAATACAGACACACTCCGGTCCACAAAGGCATGCTGGTGTGCCAGTTACAGTCACTTTGTCTTTTCGTTGTGATTCAGAAAGATTCTCATACTGAGGGAACTGTTCAGAATTACATTTTTGGGATCATGTTCTAACCTCCCACATTTTACTACCATTATAACCTTTCACATTTTACTGGCATTGATTTAAATTGGGGGGCTGCCTGGATTAATTTCAGAAAAGTCTACCTCAGTGTTTGTTACATACAGTGGTTGTGAGGCGAGCCCCAGTGGCCCGCAGCCCTTGCGCTTCGTGAACCCCTTGGCCAAAGGGTTCTTTATCAGAAACAGTGACCTCACACATGTGTCCGCCTGGCCTCAAATGGGGCCCAGTGGAAAGACAGGAGTGTTAATTAGAAGAAAATCTCCTAGTACCTCAGAATGTATTGTTACAACAGAAGAAAACCACTATGGATCAATGGCCAAGTGAACTGACTTTTTTAAAAATTAATTTTATTGGTACATTTAAGGAATACAATATAATGACACTCAACATTTGGAAATTTGCAGCTTTACATAAACCATCTTGGTTCTTTTGTTTTCCCCCATTCCCCTGCCCTCCCTTCAACCCATCTACCCCTCCTTATCTTCAAAGACTTTGTTTCCAGTTTTTCTTTTTCTCATTTTAATTCCATTCCCTTCTTTTCCCCCACCCCTCCCATCTCCCCTTCCCCTTTGCACCTTTTCTTCCTATTTCACATTATCTATTAGACCTTTTACTCCTTACTTACACTTTCAGTTTCTCACTCTAGAGAAACTCTCCAGTATTTAAACATGTGACCTATGTATTTCACTTAAAAGTATCGCCTCAATGTGCATACATTTATCTATAAATGTTTCTAGCTTCTCATTCTTTATGGCTGAGTAGTACTCCATTTTATTAAACAAACAAACAAACAAAAAAACATTTTATTTATCCAGTCTCCCTCTGATGGGCAGTTGGGTTGCTTTAAAGTTTTAGCTATTACAAATTGTGCCGCTATGAATATAGGTGCACATGTATCAGTGTGGTATGATTTTTTTTAGTTCTTTGGGGAAGATACCCAGCAGGGAATAGCTGGGTCAAATGGAACCTCTAATCCTAGTTCTTTGAGGTATCTCCATACTGACTTCCACAGTGGTTGCACCAGTCTGCACTCCCACCGACAATGGAGCAGGGTTCCTCTTTCCCCACAGCCCCACCACCATTTGTTATTGGATGATTTCACGATAGCAGCCATGCTTTCTGGAGTGAGGTGGAATCTGAGCTTTCTTTTCATCTACATCTCTTGAATGACCAATGATGTTAAACATTTTTTCATATGTTTATTTGTATTTCTACTTCTTTGAAAAATATCTGTTCATTTCAGATACCCATTTGTGGATTAGGTCTTTAAATTTGAAAGGTCTGATTTTTTTTAACTTCTTTATATATTCTAGATAGTAGACCTTTATCTGAGAAACAGCTGGTGAAAATATTTTCCCACAGTGTGGGTTGCCTTTTCACACTGTTGGTGGTCTCTCTTGCTATGCAGAAGATTTTTAATAAGAGATCCTACTTGTTAATTGATTGTGCTAGCTCAAGGCAACAGAGGTTTTGTTCATAAAATCTTTTCCTACACCAGTGTCTTCCAGAGTTCTACCTAACCTCTCTTCCAGCCGGTTTAATGTTCCTGTTTTAATATTTAGGTCTTTAATCCATTTCAATTTTAGTTTAGTACATGGTGAGAGAAATTGTTCTAGTTTTAGTCTTTGGCAAGTTGAAACCCAGTTTTCCCAACACCATTTATTAAAGAGGCTATCCTTCCTCCAGTGAGGGTGTTTGGCTCCTTTGTCAAAGATGAGGTGGCTGAATGTGTCTGGATTTATTTCTGTGTCTTCTAATCTGTTCCACTGGCTCGGGTCTGTTTTTTCCCAGTACCATGCTGTTTTTATCACAGTAGCTTTCTAGTATAGTTTCAAGTTGGGGATTGTGATATCCCATACCTTGTCTTGGAATTGCTTTTGCTATTCTAGGTCTCTTCTTGTTCCAAATGAATTTTTGGATTGTTTTCTCAAGGTCTGTGAAGTATGCTGCTGGACTTTCAATGGGATTGCATTGAATCTATATAGCAGTTTGGAAAATATGGCATTTTTACTATGTTGGTTCTTCCAACCCTGGAGCAAGTGATGTCTTTCCATTTTCTGATATCACCTTCAGCCTCTTCTTTCACAGTGCTATAGTTTTCAGAGTACAGGTCTTTCATTTCCTATGTTAGGATGATTCATAGGTGTTTCAGTTTTTTGGATGCTATTGTGAAAGGAATTGACTGCCCCATTTCTCTTTCAGTGAGTCTGTTTTCCATGTACAAAAAAGCTATTGATTTTTGTGCATTGACCTTGTATCCAGCTGCTCTACTGAATTTGGTTATTAAGTCTACAAGACTTTTGGTGGAGTTCTTGAGATCTTCTATATAGAGTATCATGTCATCTGCAAATAATGACTATTTGACTTCATTTCCTGTCTTTATTCCTTTTATTTCTTTCTCCTGTCTAATTGCCGTGGCTAATGTTTCCAAAACATGTTGAACGGGAGAGGTGATAATGGGCATCCTTGTCTTGCTCCTGAATTTAGTGTGAAGGATTTCAGTTTTTGGCCATTTAGTATAATATTGGCTACTGATTTTTTTATAGATGGCTTTTATCAGATTGCAGTAGAGGCCGTCTATTCCAATATTTTGGGGGTTTTATCCTAAATGCATTTTGTACTTTGTCAAATGCTTTTTCTGCATCTATTGAGATGATTGTATGGTTTTTGTCTTTGGCTCTCTTAATATAGTGTATTACACTTACTGATTTGCATATGTTGAACCATCCTTACATCCTTGTGATGAATCCCACTTGGTCAGAGTATATGATCTTCTTGATGATCTTCTGCACTCTCTTTGACAGTAACTTATTAAGGATTTTTGAATCTATGTTCATTAGTGAGATTGGCCTATGCATCCTTGTGATGAATCCCACTTGGTCAGAGTATATGATCTTCTTGACGATCTTCTGCACTCTCTTTGACAGTAACTTATTAAGGATTTTTGAATCTATGTTCATTAGTGAGATTGGCCTATACTTCTCTTTTTTGGTTGGGTCTTTCTCTGCTTTGGAAATCAATGTGGCCCTTGTTTCCAGGAGTGAATTTGGGAGTATTGCTTCCCTTTCAATTTCATTGGAGAGTTTAAACAGTAGTGGCAATAGTTCCTCTCTAAATGTCATACACAATTCAGTAGTGAAGCCATCAGGACCTGGGATTTTCTTAGTTGGCAAGTTTTCAATTACATTTTCAATTTTGTTGATTGATAGTGGGTTGTTTAGAAGTGTTAAGTCATCTGCATTCAACTATGGTAATTCATACCTATCTAGGAATCTGTCCTTTTCTTCTGGATTTTCCATCTTACTGGTGTATAGGTTCTCAGAGTAGGTATTGATAATACTCTGGATTTCTGCTGAGTGCACTGTAATTTCAACCTTTTCATTCCTAATTGTATAGATTTGGGCCTTTTTTTTTTAATAAGGTTGGCTGAGGGTTTATCAATTTTGTTTATTCTTTCAAAGACCCAACTCTTGGCTTCATGATTTGCATTGTTCTCTTAGTCTCCATTGCATTGACTTCTGCCCTGATCTTTATAATTTCTTCCCTTGTATGAACTTTGGGTTTGTCGTGCTCTTCTTTTTCTAGAATCTTGAGGTTCAGCAACAGGTTGTGTAATTGAACTCACTCTGTTTTTATGAATATTCACTGCTATGAATTTCCCTAAGACAGACTGCTTTCATTGCATCCCATAGATTCTGATATGTTCTATTGTCATTGTCATTTAATTATAGGAACTGTCTGATTTCTTCTTGAATTTCCTGTGACCACTTGGTTATTCAGAAGTGTGTTGTTCAATTTTCATGTGGTTTTTTGTTTGTTTGTTTGTTTTTGGTACCAGAGATCAAACTTGGGATC